CGCCCCCCCTGAAACCCCCTGCCCCCCGCCTCTGCCTGCCCATGTCCAGCTTCGCCAGCGGCGAGGGGAAGATCATTCTCTACCTCTACGTCACCGACTTTATCTGTTGCGTGGCTGTGGTGTCTGTCTCCTACGTCATGATCGCCCAGGCCCTGCGGAGGAATGCCCAGGTGAGGAAGTGCCCGCCTGTGGTGGCTGTGGATGCCTCTAGACCGCAGCCCTTCGTGGGGCCCCTGGCCGCCGGGGCCAGGGAGGGCTTGCAGAGTGCTGTGCCCGCCTTGTACAGGAACCAGAGCTACAGCAAGCCGCAGCACGTCCAGACGCACAGCCACACCACGAACCTCGGCCAAACGCCCACCAACCCCGGCCGGGCGCCTTTTTTTTTCTGCCGGCCGGCTCCAGCTGGTGTCGGCGGTCAACCTGTCCACGGCCAAAGACTCCAGAGCGGTGGTGACATGCGTTGTCATCGTGCTGTCTGTCTTGGTTTGCTGCCTGCCCTTGGGAATCTCTTTGGTGCAGGACGTCCTGTCCAGCAGTGGTGGCTTTGTTCTCTACCAGTTCGAGCTGTGTGGATTTACCCTAATTTTTTTCAAATCTGGATTAAATCCCTTTATATATTCCCGCAACAGCGCTGGACTTCGGAGACGAGTCCTCTGGTGCCTACAGTACGTAGCTCTTGTCTTTTTCTGCTGCAAGCAGAAGACAAGGCTTCGGGCCATGGGCAAAGGCAGCCTGGAAGTCAACAGGAACAAGTCATCCCACCATGAGACCAATTCAGCATACATGCTGTCTCCAAAACCTCAGAAAAAGTTTGTGGACCAAGCCTGTGGTCCTAGCCACTCCAAGGAAAGCGTGCTGAGTCCCAAGGCTTCTGTCGGGCATCAGCACTATGCACAGAGCAGCTCAACCCCCCTGAACACCCGAATCGAGCCCTATTACAGTATCTATAACAGCAGCCCTTCCCAGGAAGTGAGCACCCCAAATAGCGTACAGCCAGTGAACTCGACCTTCGGGTTTGCCAAATCCTACATTGCCATGCATTATCACACCACCAACGACGTGGTGCGAGACTGTGACAGTGCTTCGACTAAGCAGATACCAGTGCCCTCGGTGTAACCTTAGGAAAGGGTTCTGATCTAGCTGATCCAGTGGGTCGTCTTCTTTGCTTTTATTAATGGTTATTCTGAACTCAGTGATACAGTACTGCTGCCAGTTAAGAAAAATGCCACTAATGTTAATATCCAGATACTTGTGTTTGAAGCCAATACTAGGATATTACCTCCGTGACGCTTTCTTGAATTTCTGCGGCAAGTCAAGAAGGAAGGTATTTTAGATTTGTATTTGGAGTTGTTACACGAGGGTGGTTTTGTTACTAAATTTTACTGCTGGACAAGTGAAAAAAAGTAAGCGTTGTAACTATACGATTCATTACGTCACGAGGCAGAATATCTCAGAGAACAATCTGAGGCTGCACCGGAAGTATTACCTGTTAAATTGCATACTTGCCGTATTTTAAGAAGGAAGAACCAGGAGGATGCTTGGTATTACGATACCCAAGTTTAAATTCTTCCTGTTGCAGAAGTCTGAGAGAATCGGTGGTATTTTATTGTAGCTGGTGTCAGTAAAAATAGAGGTCCTTTCTATTCGCAGGGTGAAATCCTGGTTCTGTTGAGGTAAATGGCAACGTTTCCATGAACTTCAAGTGAAGTTCAGGATTTCAGTCTCCGTTTCCTAAAGCAGGACAAGGCATTTTACAAACAGCGTTATATTGCCACTGGGGAAGAGCTTTTGAGAAGCGTTGTGGCACTGTAATAAACCTCTGAATATAGATTCATTTCCGCTGTACATTTCTTCTAAGGATCGGTGGCGTTCTGTATCCCAAAATAATGTATTTGGAGAAGTATTTTACATCTGATAGAAGTAACTGTGCAATACCTAATTATAGGTTTTACTTGAGGATAAAGATGAATATTGCAATATTATGATCCTGATACACTATTAGTAATACAGTCACCTCTGGAATTTTCTAATTCGTAAACTGTTACAGAAAGAGTAGCGTTGCTGGTTGCTTTTTTGTCTATGACTTTGTATAAAAGCAGGAATTGCGGGGATTTGGCTGTGGTATTCCTGCCAGGTAGAACTGACAGCTGTTAGCATTTTCAAAAACAGAATGACTGCGTAACAAGAGGACTAGAATTTTTTCGAGGTTTTCTTAAGAAGTCTAACATCAGTTTGATTTAAAGATTACTAATCTGTCTACTTATAAACTTTATCTGTTGGTCTACACGGTGAGCAAATAACGGAAGTTAAATATTTTTTTATCAGTCCGACCATTTGTGTTGTGTCACGTGTTGTGGGAATTCCTTGTGAAATGGAATGATTCGGAGGCACTTAAATTCCTGACAATTATCACTTTAAGTGGCCAGATCTTTTCAAATCAAGCAATCACCTTTCAACTTATATGGACTTCAGCAGAGCCTTAGTACCTCTGAAATAATTGTGCCACAGACTTTTGGTGCCTCGTTATAGGAAAATGCCACATCCTTAGCAAAATTACAGCGATGGAAAGATGATTGTTATTTTAGAAACAAAGACCTTTCCCATCATTGCCGTGTGTGAGTTGTCGTTGGTTTAGGCTATTTGTTAACTAAACTATTTTTGAGATTTTCCTGGAAGACTATTACATTATGAACGCTGTTCTTTGTTTAACATTCTGAATTTTAATTAATTTTGAATAATTCAAGACAGCTTTCTTGCAATAAAATGGATATGAATAACTTTCTAATACAAATGTAAAATTTAAATTATTTCCATAAGTCTTTTCTCTCTGTCCAGATATTTTTCTCTATAAACAAGTAACATGGTTCTTTCTAAAGTAATTATAAAAGATAACTAAAAGATCTGTCCTGTTTGGTTTTTCTGACTTTGCATTTCTCTCTAGTACAAAGCGTACTAATTTGGAGGGAAAAAATATGTGAGATCCTTTCATTTTGTGTCAAACTATCCATTCTTAGCAGCAGTTACAGTTTCAGATCAGAAGGAGAATAGGACAGGACCTCAAAAGTGGTTGCAAGATGGGGTCCTGGATGTACTTTCAGGGGAGTTGAAGATAGGCATTAAGACTGGTTTTAACTTTAAGCAGTTTTGGGGTTTGCCGTATGTACGTATGACTCCTACTGTGCTTTTGTTTTGGGTCACATGAACTTCATCACATGGTAGGAGATTAAATCCTTTGCACCTTATTCACAAAGGTAGTTTGGATTGAGTATTCATGTGGGAGAAAAGCAAGAAGGGCACAGCATTAGGATAGAAGGAGGTTTTACTGCTTTTACATGATGTATTATTAAGACGAAAGAGCTGCAGTCCCTTCAAAGCAATTTGCAGTATTGCTCTTCTGTTACCTGCTGGTGCCAGTTGTATTCTTAATACAACCGATCTGTTAATAGGTTTGTGGTGTCAGGTAGGCAGGCCTACCAATGCCTCTTAATCTGTGCTAGGAACAAAACACGGTTTAAGTTGTCAATTGTACTAAATAATAACCGTTTTGGGGGAGGTTTATGGATGTAGCATAGAGATTGGATTTTGAAAATAAGTAGGTGCAGTTTCTTTGAAGTGAATCATAAACTGAAGTTATCAATTATCATGATAAAGTAATTATTTTAGACTCTTCTGGAATATAACTTTTCTTTTTTCCTTTAGCCCTCTTGTTGTAGCAGAACCTTCCTCTGCTGAGCACAGAACCAGCGAAGTGTGACTGCGAGGTTAAAAAAGCAGCAATCTAATTGAGAGGGGAAGCAACTCAGGAGTGCTGGACGAAAGGAGGTGGAAAATGTACGTGAAGAGAGGAGATGGGTAAGAGAGTACGTGAATACTGAATGGTTTAGAAAAAGTAGGTCTGTAGTTGGTGTGGTCTGTAACACAAGAACGAGAAAGCATCTCACAAACATGAAAGGTGGCAAATCCAAGACTCACAAAGTGCTGTACTTTCCTTACTGCCTGTACATACGCTGTGGACCTCATCGCTATAGAACTGGTTAGAAGAAACTGGGAAGGGTGCTTCATGTGGGTCATACAGAAATCAGGAGCCTGACAGTTAATGCCGGCATGTTTTGGCATGTATATAACATTTTCTACTCCAGGAATTAAAGCAATCTCTGATTTTTGGGGTTAGGATGAGCCCATTGTGGTGGAACAGGTTACCCAACGTATGTTTTCAGTATGCTTTTTAGCTTCTTTTGAAGTTGCTGGTGTTGGCCGCTGTCACGATATTTGGCCCGAGGACTGTTTATGCTTTATTATTGAAAATCTGTGTTTGCGGTGTTAGGTGTACTGCTAACAGTTTGGCTAAGAAGGAGTGGCCTCAAAGAAAGCATAAAGAAGCTTATTAAAAAAAACAGCTGATGGATTACTGGGACTGATCTCAATAACACGTTTACATGAACAAAAATATTTGGAAGATTTTATAATTCACAGTCTTTTTTTAAGTCATAGATCTTGCTTTATGGTGATCAGAGTTGACTTTTTCAGCTGGTGGCCTGCAGTATTGTATTTTTTAATCCTTTATATATTAAACCTAAAGGCTGCTAATGCCAAGTAATTTTAAACTATGTACACAACCTTAAAAAGTATGTTCAACACTTGGGCACCACCTCAGAACTTTTTAGATCAGAGATCAGAGAGATTTCTGTTAGTCACAGAGCCAGCCTGCCTTAGCATAAGGCTTCAACAAGTTGGGGAGGGCAGGGTGCAAAAATAGGAGAAACGATAGTCAAGAAGGATCAGTGTCTGATAATTCTGTGGTATCTTGCGGCACTTTGTGGTACGTACGGTTTAGGTATATAATTTGTCACTTCTTAGCAAAGTTGTGAAAATTATCCCCCATGTAATCTTCAGTACCCTCCCACCTGCAGCACAGGGAATAAAAAGCAGAGAGACTTGTGAACTGCGAGGGTTGTCCTTACCTGCACCATTATCTCTTCACCTTCTTCCACGAGGTAGCGAAGCAGGGCTACAGAGAGCAACCCGAGATGTTCATGGTGGAAACGAAGAAAAGGCAGGTGCTGTAATATCTTAAAATAATAGAATAGTCGTGCAGGGATTAAGGTGGAGTCCTACGGATGTTTTCTAGGTTTACCTTCTGACTGTCCTTAAATGGGTTTTCTAAAAAATTTTTTTAAAGTATTTAAGAGGAGTGTGTTTGCACTGGTGCCACAGGTGGATGGAGGATTACATAAATGGTCCTGCTGCTGAGCGCTGGTAAGCAGTTCTGCTCACGCCACGCGTACCAGGAAAAAGGGTCCCAGCTCTCTCTTTCACCAGTTAGCTGGCTGCCAGCAATTCAAAGGACAGGAAAATAATTCTGTTTTCATGATAGTCAGTGTATGTGACTCCTCATGCTTGCTGAGGGAAGGTGAGTTTGCACAGAGTGCAAAGAGATCTCTCCATAAATGGAGGTGGTAGAGGAGGGCAAGTCCTACTCTGCTGCTCATAATTTGCACTGGTGGAAAACTGGAGAGTCGGCACCGTGGGACAGAAGGAGAGGAGGTGACTTCAAAGTGCTTCTGGGGTTTGTGAGCACAGGTTCTGTTCTGTGGCGCAACTGATGCGGATTTCTTTGATTTGAATAGCTCTTTGGTTATTGTCAGCTTCAAGCGCTGTGCTTCATGGCTATACCAAGTACAATATCCATAAATTTAATCAGTACTGGCAAATGGGCTTAAAAATGTTGTTTATTGTGTGCTGCTAAATGCTGACAACAGGTCATTGTCAATTCCTATTTAAAATGCATCTATATTTAGTATGAGAAAAATGCTTTCATTCATTACAAAAGCTGTCCCTGAACCTTGGTTCTGAGTCAAACACGCTGCATACTGCAGTGTGAGGTTTTTTTTCCTTTCTCCTACGCAGCTTCCTCTTCGACAGCACAGGGAGGGTGAAAACCACGTACTGCTCCAGCTGGATCTTTTCCCTTTCAAAATACATTGCAGAGAGTTGTATTTGCTGATGTCTCCTTGTGTTTGTTTCGTGTTTCCCCTTTTGGCATCAAATACGTTGGTATTAGTCTTACTTTGTCACAGCAGAGCTAATTCACTTTCCGAGCATGTGTTTCAAATGTG